ACCCATAGACTCATCACACAGAGACCCATAGACTCACCACACAGAGACACACAGACTCAGCACACAGCGACCCATAGACTCACCACACAGAGACCCATAGACTCATCACACAGAGACCCATAGACTCACCACACAGAGACACATAGACTCACCACACAGAGACCCATAGACTCACTCACCACACAGAGACACACAGACTCACCACACAGCGACCCATAGACTCATCACACAGAGACCCACAGACTCACCACACAGAGACACACAGACTCACCACACAGCGACCCATAGACTCACCACACAGAGACCCATCGACTCATCACACAGAGACCCATAGACTCACCACACAGAGACCACAGACTCACCACACAGAGACCCACAGACTCACCACACAGAGACACATAGACTCACCACACAGAGACACACAGACTCACCACACAGAGACCCATAGACTAACTCACCACACAGAGACCCATAGACTCACCACACAGAGACCCATAGACTGACCACACAGAGACCGATAGACTCACCACACAGAGACACATAGACTCATCACACAGAGACCCATAGACTCATCACACAGAGACACATAGACTCATCGCACAGAGACCCATAGACTCATCACACAGAGACACAAACTCATCACACACAGACCCATAGATTCACCACACAGAGACCCATAGACTCATTACACAGAGACCCATAGACTCACTCACAGAGACCCATAGACTCACCACACAGAGACCCACAGACTCACCACACAGAGACCCATAGACTCACACACAGAGACCCATAGACTCACTCACAGAGACCCATAGACTCATCGCACAGAGACCCATAGACTCATCACAAAGAGACCCACAGACTCATTACACAGAGACCCATAGACTCATCACACAGAGACACATAGACTCATCACACAGAGACACAAACTCATCACACAGAGACACATAGACTCACCACATGGAGACACATAGACTCACCACAGAGAGACATACAGACTCACCACACAGAGACACATAGACTCATCACACAGAGACCCATAGACTCACCACACAAAGACCCATAGACTCATCACACACAGACCCATAGTTCACCACACAGAGACCCATAGACTCATCACACAGAGACCCATAGACTCACCACACAGAGACACACAGACTGACCACACAGAGACCCATAGACTCACCACACAGAGACCCATAGACTCATCACACAGAGACCCATAGACTCACCACACAGAGACACATAGACTCACCACACAGAGACCCACAGACTCATCACACAGAGACCCACAGACACATCACACAGAGACCCACAGACTCACCACACAGAGACCCATAGACTCACCACACAGAGACCCATAGACTCACCACACAGAGACCCATAGACTCACCACACAGAGACCCATAGACTCACCACACAGAGACCCATAGACTCATCACACAGAGACCCATAGACTCACCACACAGAGACCCATAGACTCACCACACAGAGACACATAGACTCATCACACAGAGACCCATAGACGCACCACACAGAGAACCATAGATTCACCACACAGAGGCCCATAGACTCACTCACCACAAAGAGACCCACAGACTCACCACACAGAGACCCATAGACTCATCACACAGAGACCCATAGACTCACCACACAGAGACACACAGACTCAGCACACAGCGACCCATAGACTCACCACACAGAGACCCATAGACTCATCACACAGAGACCCATAGACTCACCACACAGAGACACATAGACTCACCACACAGAGACCCATAGACTCACTCACCACACAGAGACACACAGACTTACCACACAGCGACCCATAGACTCATCACACAGAGACCCACAGACTCACCACACAGAGACACACAGACTCACCACACAGCGACCCATAGACTCACCACACAGAGACCCATTGACTCATCACACAGAGACCCATAGACTCACCACACAGAGACCACAGACTCACCACACAGAGACCCACAGACTCACCACACAGAGACACATAGACTCACCACACAGAGACACACAGACTCACCACACAGAGACCCATAGACTAACTCACCACACAGAGACCCATAGACTCACCACACAGAGACACATAGACTCATCACACAGAGACCCATAGACTCATCACACAGAGACACATAGACTCATCGCACAGAGACCCATAGACTCATCACGCAGAGACACAAACTCATCACACACAGACCCATAGATTCACCACACAGAGACCCATAGACTCATTACACAGAGACCCATAGACTCACCACACAGAGACCCACAGACTCACCACACAGAGACCCATAGACTCACACACAGAGACCCATAGACTCACTCACAGAGACCCATAGACTCATCGCACAGAGACCCATAGACTCATCACACAGAGACCCACAGACTCATTACACAGAGACCCATAGACTCATCACACAGAGACACATAGACTCATCACACAGAGACACAAACTCATCACACAGAGACCCATAGACTCACCACATGGAGACACATAGACTCACCACAGAGAGACATACAGACTCACCACACAGAGATCCATAGACTCATCACACAGAGACCCATAGACTCACTCACAGAGACCCATAGACTCACCACACAGAGACCCACAGACTCACCACACAGAGACCCATAGACTCATTACACAGAGACACATAGACTCACTCACCACACAGAGACCCATAGACTCACCACACAGAGACCCATAGACTCACCACACAGAGACCCATAGACTCACTCACCACACAGAGACCCATAGACTCACCACACAGAGACCCATAGACTCACCACACAGAGATCCATAGACTCATCACACAGAGACCCATAGACTCACTCACCACACAGAGACCCATAGACTCACCACACAGAGACCCATAGACTCACCACACAGAGACCCATAGACTCACCACACAGCAGCTGAGTGTTGAACATGAACAAACTGGTGTTGTGGTTCAGTCTTTTGAGGCTGAGCCGATCTAGGGGAGGCCCAGGCCCGGTGCAGGCGTCGCTGGCCGAGAGTGGGAACCAATCCCCACGTGGCAGCCACAAGGTGCCCAGCGCAGCGCTGACCGCTGTCCCACCACTCCTCACATGCAATGCGGTGGTGGTGATGGTGGTGATGGTGGTGGTGGTGATGGTGGTGGTGGTGATGGTGGTGGTGGTGATGGTGGTGATGGTGGTGATGGTGGTGGTGGTGATGGTGGTGATGGTGGTGGTGGTGATGGTGGTGGTGGTGATGGTGGTGATGGTGGTGGTGGTGATGGTGGTGATGGTGGTGGTGGTGATGGTGGTGGTGGTGATGGTGGTGATGGTGGTGGTGGTGATGGTGGTGGTGGTGATGGTGGTGATGGTGGTGGTGGTGATGCTGGTATTGGTTGTGGTGATGCGGTGATGGCAGTGGTGATGGTGGTGGTGGTGATGGTAGTGTTGATGGTAGTGATGGTGGTGGTGGTGATGGTGGTGGTGATGGTGGTGGTGATGGTGGTGGTGGTGATAGTGGTGATGGTAGTGATGATGGTGATGGTGGTGATGGTGGTGGTGGAGATGATGGTGGTGATGGTGGTGATGGTGATGATGGTGGTGATGGTGGTGAAGGTGGTGATGATAGTGATGGTGATGGTGGTGATGGTGGTGGTGGTGATGGTGGTGATGGTAGTGGTGATAGTGATGGTGGTGATGGTGGTGATGATGGTGGTGATGGTGGTGATGGTGGTGGTGATGGTGGTGGTGATGGTGGTGATAGTGGTGTTTGTGGTGATGGTTTTGGTGATAGTGGTGGTGGTTGTGGTGATGGTGGTGATGGTGATAATGGTGGTGGTGGTGATAGTGGTGATGGTAGTGATGATGGCGATGGTGGTGGTGATGGTGGTGGTGGTGATGATGGTGGTGATGGTGGTGATGGTTATGATTGTGGTGATGGTTGTGGTGATGGGGTGATGGTAGTGGTGATGGTGGTGGTGATGGTTGTGGTGGTTGTGGTGATGGTTGTGGTGATGGTTGTGGTGATGGTGGTGATGGTGGTGGTTGTGGTGATGGTTGTGGTGATGGTGGTGATGGTGGTGATGGTGGTGGTTGTGGTGATGGTTGTGGTGATGGTTGTGGTGATGGTTGTGTTGATAGTGGTGATGGTAGTGGTGATGGTAGTGTTGATGGTAGTGTTGATGGTTGTGGTGATGGTGGTGGTTGTGGTGATGGTTGTGGTGAGGGGGTGATCGTAGTGGTGATGGTGGTGATGTGGTGATGGTGATGGTAGTGGTGATGGTGGTGGTTGTGGTGATGGTTGTGGTGATGGGGTGATCGTAGTGGTGATGGTGGTGATGGTGATGGTAGTGGTGATGGTGGTGGCTGTGGTTATGGTTGTGGTGATGGGGTGATGGTTTTGGTGATGGTGGTGGTTGTGGTGATGGTAGTGGTGATGGTGGTGATGGTTATGGTTGTGGTGATGGTTGTGGTGATGGTTGTGGTTATGGTGGTGATGGTAGTGGTGATGGTTGTGGTTATGGTTGTGGTGATGGTGGTGATGGTAGTCGTGATGGTGGTGGTGATGATGGTTGTGGTGATGGTGGTGATGGTAGTGGTGATGGTTGTGGTGATGGTTGTGGTGATGGTGGTGATGGTAGTCGTGATGGTGGTGGTGGTGATGGTAGTGGTGATGGTGGTTGCTGTGGTTATGGTTGTGGTGATGGGGTGATGGTTTTGGTGATGGTGGTGGTTGTGGTGATGGTAGTGGTGATGGTGGTGATGGTGATGGTTGTGGTGATGGTTGTGGTGATGGTTGTGGTTATGGTGGTGATGGTAGTGGTGATGGTTGTGGTTATGGTTGTGGTGATGGTGGTGATGGTAGTCGTGATGGTGGTGGTGGTGATGGTTGTGGTGATGGTGGTGATGGTAGTGGTGATGGTTGTGGTGATGGTTGTGGTGATGGTGGTGATGGTAGTCGTGATGTTGGTGGTGGTGATGGTAGTGGTGATGGTGGTGATGGTAGTGGTGATGGTTGTGGTGATGGTTGTGGTGATGGTGGTGATGGTAGTCGTGATGGTGGTGGTGGTGATGGTAGTGGTGATGGTGGTATGTATCTGGGGATCTCAGCTCATATCGATAGCCAATGTTTAAGCTGAAACAGAGAACACGACATACATCACCAACATGTTACACGCATGTTGTGTGGTGAGTCTATGGGTCTCTGTGTGTGAGTCTATGGGTCTCTGTGTGGTGAGCCTATGGGTCTCTGTGTGAGTAGTCTGTGTGTCTCTGTGTGATGAGTTTGTGTCTCTGTGTGGTGAGTCTGTATGTCTCTGTGTGGTGAGTCTATGGGTCTCTGTGTGGTGAGTCTATGGGTCTCTGTGTGGTGAGTCTGTGGGTCTCTGTGTGGTGAGTCTGTGGGTCTCTGTGTGTGAGTCTATGGGTCTCTGTGTGGTGAGCCTATGGGTCTCTCTGTGAGTAGTCTGTGTGTCTCTGTGTGATGAGTTTGTGTCTCTGTGTGGTGAGTCTGTATGTCTCTGTGTGGTGAGTCTATGGGTCTCTGTGTGGTGAGTCTATGGGTCTCTGTGTGGTGAGTCTGTGGGTCTCTGTGTGGTGAGTCTGTGGGTCTCTGTGTGGTGAGTCTGTGGGTCTCTGTGTGGTGAGTGTATGGGTCTCTGTGTGGTGAGTCTATGGGTCTCTGTGTGAGTCTATGTGTCTCTGTGTGTGATGATTCTATGTGTCTCTGTGTGTGATGAGTCTATGGGTCTCTGTGTGATGAGTCCATGGGTCTCTGTGTGTGAGTAGTCTATGGGTCTCTGTGTGGTGAGTCTATGGGTCTCTGTGTGATGAGTCTATGGGTCTCTGTGTGTGATGAGTCTATGGGTCTCTGTGTGGTGAGTCTGTGGGTCTCTGTGTGGTGAGTCTGTGGGTCTCTGTGTGATGAGTCTGTGGGTCTCTGTGTGATGAGTATATGTGTCTTTGTGTGTGATGAGTCTATGGGTCTCTGTGTGGTGAGTATATGTGTCTCTGTGTGGTGAGTCTATGGGTCTCTGTGTGGTGAGTCTATGCGTCTCTGTGTGGTGAGTCTATGTGTCTCTGTGTGATGAGTCTGTGGGTCTCTGTGTGGTGAGTCTATGGGTCTCTGTGTGATGAGTCTATGGGTCTCTGTGTGATGAGTCTATGGGTCTCTGTGTGGTGGGGCTATGGGTCTCTGTGTGATGAGTCTATGTGTCTCTGTGTGGTAAGTCTGTGGGTCTCTGTGTGGTGAGTCTATGGGTCTCTGTGTGGTGAGTCTGTGGGTCTCTGTGTGGTGAGTCTGTGGGTCTCTGTGTGGTGAGTCTGTGGGTATCTGTGTGATGAGTCTATGGGTCTCTGTGTGGTGAGTCTGTGGGTCTCTGTGTGATGAGTCTGTGGGTCTCTGTGTGGTGAGTCTGTGGGTCTCTGTGTGGTGAGTCTGTGGGTCTCTGTGTAGTGAGTCTGTGGGTCTCTGTGTGATGAGTCTATGGGTCTCTGTGTGTGAGTAGTCTATGGGTCTCTGTCTGATGAGTCTATGGGTCTCTGTGTGGTGAGTCTATGGGTCTCTGTGTGGTGAGTCTATGGGTCTCTGTGTGGTGCGTCTATGGGTCTCTGTGTGGTGAGTCTATGGGTCTCTGTGTGATGAGTCTATGGGTCTCTGTGTGGTGGGGCTATGGGTCTCTGTGTGATGAGTCTATGTGTCTCTGTGTGGTGAGTCTGTGGGTCTCTGTGTGGTGAGTCTATGGGTCTCTGTGTGATGAGTCTATGGGTCTCTGTCTGGTGAGTCTATGGGTCTCTATGTGTGAATCTGTGGGTCTCTGTGTAGTGAGTCTGTGGGTCTCTGTGTGATGAGTCTGTGGGTCTCTGTGTGCTGAGCCTGTGGGTCTCTGTGTAGTGAGTCTGTGGGTCTCTGTGTGGTGAGTCTATGGGTCTCTGTGTGGTGAGTCTGTGGGTCTCTGTGTGATGAGTCTGTGGGTCTCTGCTGTGTGTTGAGTCTGTGGGTCTCTGTGTGATGAGTCTATGAGTCTCTGTGTGATGAGTCTGTGGGTCTCTGTGTGGTGAGTCTGTGGGTCTCTGTGTGGTGAGTCTGTGGGTCTCTGTGTGGTGAGTCTGTGGGTCTCTGTGTGGTGAGTCTGTGGGTCTCTGTGTGGTGAGTCTGTGGGTCTCTGTGTGGTGAGTGTATGGGTCTCTGTGTGGTGAGTCTATGGGTCTCTGTGTGAGTCTATGTGTCTCTGTGTGTGATGATTCTATGTGTCTCTGTGTGTGATGAGTCTATGGGTCTCTGTGTGATGAGTCCATGGGTCTCTGTGTGTGAGTAGTCTATGGGTCTCTGTGTGGTGAGTCTATGGGTCTCTGTGTGATGAGTCTATGGGTATCTGTGTGTGATGAGTCTATGGGTCTCTGTGTGGTGAGTCTGTGGGTCTCTGTGTGGTGAGTCTGTGGGTCTCTGTGTGATGAGTCTGTGGGTCTCTGTGTGATGAGTATATGTGTCTCCGTGTGTGATGAGTCTATGGGTCTCTGTGTGGTGAGTATATGTGTCTCTGTGTGGTGAGTCTATGGGTCTCTGTGTGGTGAGTCTATGCGTCTCTGTGTGGTGAGTCTATGTGTCTCTGTGTGATGAGTCTGTGGGTCTCTGTGTGGTGAGTCTATGGGTCTCTGTGTGATGAGTCTATGGGTCTCTGTGTGATGAGTCTATGGGTCTCTGTGTGGTGGGGCTATGGGTCTCTGTGTGATGAGTCTATGTGTCTCTGTGTGGTAAGTCTGTGGGTCTCTGTGTGGTGAGTCTATGGGTCTCTGTGTGGTGAGTCTGTTGGTCTCTGTGTGGTGAGTCTGTGGGTCTCTGTGTGGTGAGTCTGTGGGTATCTGTGTGATGAGTCTATGGGTCTCTGTGTGGTGAGTCTGTGGGTCTCTGTGTGATGAGTCTGTGGGTCTCTGTGTGGTGAGTCTGTGGGTCTCTGTGTGGTGAGTCTGTGGGTCTCTGTGTAGTGAGTCTGTGGGTCTCTGTGTGATGAGTCTATGGGTCTCTGTGTGTGAGTAGTCTATGGGTCTCTGTCTGATGAGTCTATGGGTCTCTGTGTGGTGAGTCTATGGGTCTCTGTGTGGTGAGTCTATGGGTCTCTGTGTGGTGCGTCTATGGGTCTCTGTGTGGTGAGTCTATGGGTCTCTGTGTGATAAGTCTATGGGTCTCTGTGTGGTGGGGCTATGGGTCTCTGTGTGATGAGTCTATGTGTCTCTGTGTGGTGAGTCTGTGGGTCTCTGTGTGGTGAGTCTATGGGTCTCTGTGTGATGAGTCTATGGGTCTCTGTCTGGTGAGTCTATGGGTCTCTATGTGTGAATCTGTGGGTCTCTGTGTAGTGAGTCTGTGGGTCTCTGTGTGATGAGTCTGTGGGTCTCTGTGTGCTGAGCCTGTGGGTCTCTGTGTAGTGAGTCTGTGGGTCTCTGTGTGGTGAGTCTATGGGTCTCTGTGTGGTGAGTCTGTGGGTCTCTGTGTGATGAGTCTGTGGGTCTCTGCTGTGTGTTGAGTCTGTGGGTCTCTGTGTGATGAGTCTATGAGTCTCTGTGTGATGAGTCTGTGGGTGTCTGTGTCATGAGTCTGTGGGTCTCTGTGTGATGGGTCTATGGGTCTCTGTGTGATGAGTCTATGGGTCTCTGTGTGGTGAGTCTATGGGTCTCTGTGTGAGTAGTCTATGGGTCTCTGTGTGGTGAGTCTATGGGTCTCTGTGTGAGCAGTCTATGGGTCTCTGTGTGATGAGTCTATGGGTCTCTCTGTGGTGAGTCTATGGGCCTCTGTGTGACATACAGTCTTACCAATATCATTACCATCAACATCACCATCACCGTCACCATCACCACCATCACCACCATCACCACTGTCACCATCACCGTCACCACCACCGTCACCACCACCGTCACCACCACCACCGTCACCACCACCACCACTCACCGTGTAGTGCCGTACGTGTCCCTTGTGCACCACGTGATGCTGGTTCTCTGGCATGAGGGCGAATCCCAGCTTCTGTCAACATGAACATCACTCACTCACTCACCTACTCACTCACCTACTCACTCACCTACTCACTCACTCACCTACTCACTCACCTACTCACTCACTCACCTACTCACTCACTCACCTACTCACTCACCTACTCACTCACCTTCTCACTCACTCACCTACTCACTCACCCACCCACTCACTCACCCACTCACTCACTCACCCACTCACCCACCCACCCACCCACTCACCCACCCACCCACTCACCCACCCATCCACCCACTCACCCACCCACCCACTCACTCATTCATTCACTCATTCACTCACTCACCCACTCATTCACTCACCCACCCACCCACCCACTCACCCACCCACTCACCCACCCACCCACCCACTCACCCACTCACCCACCCACCCACTCACCCACCCACCCACCCACTCACCCACCCACCCACCCACTCACCCACCCACTCACCCACTCACTCACTCACCCACTCACCCACCCACTCACCCACTCACTCACCTACTCACCCACCCACTCACCCACCCACCCACTCACCCACCCACCCACCCACTCACTCACCCACCCACCCACTCACCCACTCACTCACTCACCCACTCACTCACCCACCCACTCACCCACTCACTCACCCACTCACCCACTCACCCGCCCACTCACCCACCCACCCACCCACTCACCCACCCACTCACCCACCCACTCACCCATCCACCCACCCACTCATCCACCCACCCACTCACCCACCACCCACCCACTCACTCACCCACTCACCCACCCACTCACTCACCTCACTCACCCCCACTCACCCACCCACTCACCCACTCACCCACCCACTCACCCACCCACTCACCCACCCACTCACTCACTCACCCACCCACCCACTCACCCACTCACCCACTCACTCACTCACTCACCCACTCACTCACCCACCCACCCACTCACCCACTCACTCACCCACTCACCCACCCACCCACTCACCCACCCACTCACTCACCCACCCACCCACTCACTCACTCACCCACTCACTCACCCACCCACCCACTCACTCACCCACTCACCCACCCACTCACTCACCCACCCACTCACCCACTCACCCACTCACCCACCCACTCACCCATCCACCCACCCACTCACCCACCCACCCACTCACCTCCTTGAGGCCTCTCCCCTGCACGGTACCCAACTTGTAGGCTGCGTAGCCCGGGCACAGCGCCATGGACGAGGCGGCGATGGCCCAGCCTAGAGCAGTGGCCCAGCCGGGGTAGCGGTAGTCACCGTAGGTGAGTGGTACACTCTGCCACACACTCATCACCAACACCATCTACACACACACACGTGTACACACACATACACACACATACACACACGGGGTAGCGGTAGTCACCGTAGGTGAGTGGTACACTCTGCCACACACTCATCACCAACACCATCTACACACACACACACACGTGTACACACACATACACAAACATACACACACGTGTACACACACACACGGGGTAGCGGTAGTCACCGTAGGTGAGTGGTACACTCTGCCACACACTCATCACCAACACCATCTACACACACACACGTGTACACACACACACACATACACACACACACGGGGTAGCGGTAGTCACCGTAGGTGAGTGGTACACTCTGCCACACACTCATCACCAACACCATCTACACACACACACATACACACACATACACACACACACGGGGTAGCGGTAGTCACCGTAGGTGAGTGGTACACTCTGCCACACACTCATCACCAACACCATCTACACACACACACGTGTACACACACACACACATACACACACACACGGGGTAGCGGTAGTCACCGTAGGTGAGTGGTACACTCTGCCACACACTCATCACCAACACCATCTACACACACACACACGTGTACACACACATACACACACACACATACACACACACGTGTACACACACACACACATGTACACACACAATGTAGCGGTAGTCACCGTAGGTGAGTGGTACACTCTGCCACACACTCATCACCAACACCATCTACACACACACACATACACGTGTACAAACACACACATACACACACATACGTGTACACACACATACACACACATACACACACATGTACACACACACACGGGGTAGCGGTAGTCGCCGTAGGTGAGTGGTTCACTCTGCCACACACTCATCACCAACACCATCGACACGTGTACACGCACACACACGTGTACACACACACGTGTACACACACACGTGTACACACACACACGTGTACACACATACATACACACACGTGTACACACACACACGTGTACACACACACGTGTACACACACACACGTGTACACACACACACACGGGGTAGCGGTAGTCACCGTAGGTGAGTGGTACACTCTGCCATACACTCATCACCAACACCATCTATACAACAACAACCGCCATTCGCCACTAAGTAGCGGTGACGTCACCACGACGCTTGTGCCAGGCTATGTGCACCCTGAGGCCACGTGAAGTGTCGAACGCCCGCTGGCAGGAGGTCACGGGGCAGACCCAGGTGCCACGGGTCGACTGACTGAGATGACTGGCTGATGCACCACCTGTGCCCCCTACTGTGCCAACCTGCTGTGCTTTAGCCACCCGGCGCTCCGCTCGTTGTTCTGAGCGTCGCTCCTCCGCCCTCCGTTGTTGTTGGAGGGCGACTACCTCCAACTGCCCAGTAGCGTCCTTCACGAGCCTCCTCCACAGAGGCCGATCTTGACACCGCTGGTACCGGTCATCGGCAAGTCCACTCAGCTCCACGTCCTCCTGTACCACATCACTCCATCTCTTCTCTAGCCCGTGCCGCGCCCGCTTAGCCCCCTCAATCCAGCCGAACAAAAGCTGTTTCGGCACGCGGTGGCTGGGCATGTGGGCTACATGACCCAGCCATCGTAGCCTTCCCCGCCGGAGGACCTCACCGATGGGACCTTGCCCAGATCTTTCAAGGATTTGTGAGCTCCTCACACAATCCAGTCTGGTTAAACCCAGGATGGATCGTAGGCAGGCCAGCCTAAATGTTTCTAACCGGCAAAGATGTTCCATTAGGGGGGTCCACGTTTCGCAAGCGTAGAGAAGGGAGGGAATGACCGTGGCCGAGAAGACCTGAAGCTTAGTGCGGAGCGACAGACCAGGTAGCTTCCACACAGCATTACGCAACCGATGAAAAGATATTGCCGCTCGACTGATTCGGAGTGAGACCTCTGCTGTTAAACTGGAGCCAGTCATAAGCACACTGCCCAGGTATGGGAAACTCTCCACTCTCTCCACAACTGCCCCATCACCGATTGGGAGTTGTGGGGGTGGAGTGTCCGATGGTACAAAATACCCAGGCAGGTGCTTAGTTTTGGTGGGGCTGATGGTAAGGCCCCACCTCTTAGTGGCACGCTCCAGTCTCAGCAGCAGCGTCTCCAACTCCTCCTCTGAATGAGCAGCTATTACCAAATCATCAACATACATAACGTGGTTGAGCAATAGGGAGCCATCCCTTGACCGCACCTGGGCATCGATCAGCCTCCCATTATATCTGTACCATAGGGAGATTCCCCCGGTACAGCTATTGAAGGCTTCACGAACTACGTGGTCAAAATAGATGTTAAATAATGTGGGAGCCAGAGGACATCCCTGTCGCACCCCAAGGTGTACAGGGAATGGCTCTGACTCCTGGCCACGTAGTTTTACCCGGGCCCGCTCACCATCATGAAGGTCCTTAATGATCGTGAGCAGAGGGTCAGGTACTCCAAAAGCACGAAGAACAACCCAGAGCCCAGGCCTACTGATAATATCATAGGCCTTGACCAGGTCAATAAAGCAGAGATGTAGGTCTTGTTGGAATTCGCTACACCTCTGCTGTAGCAGATGGACTGAAAATATGGCATCTGTGCAGGACCACCCTTTCCTGAAACCGCATTGGGGCTCCGCAAGCCTCTCCTCAGCGTGCCTGGCAAGGCGATGCTGAATAATCCTTGCCAGGACCTTTCCCGGTACACTGAGGAGTGAGATGCCCCTGTAGTTGTTACAGTCTGTGCGGTCCCCCTTCTTAAAAAGGGGGACCACCAGGGCATCCTTCCAATCCTGCGGAACCCGTCCAGTGGTCCAGACCGTTGTTATGATGTCATATAGGGCAGTCTCCCAGCATTTTGATTGGGAGATCATTTCTGCCCGCTGCCTTTCCTGGTCTCAGACTCAGGATTGCCTTCAGTACTTCCTCAACAGATGGCACCTCAGCCAGCCACTCACAGGGGGTGACTTCTTCCAATTTGTGAGGCACCGCAGCCTCAGCAGGGTCATCCCCACTTTGTGCCACGATGTTTTCCTGGCTGAGGGATTTTCCCTCCCCCAGGACCTCACAGAAATGCTCAGCAAATCTGCAAACCTGTTCCTGGGGGTCGGAGATTGGATCACCGTTTTTTCCTCTAATGATGGTAATAGGTGTGGTGCTGCAGGTTACTTTTTTGATGGAGTTAAATAGAGATTTGTGATCACGGGCCACTGAGGCAGACTCCATCTCCTCAGCAACCCGCGACCACCACCCATCCTTGCAGCGCCTCACGGCTCTCCGAACCTCTGAGCGAAGGCTGCGGTAAGCCTCCTCATTCTCTGACGTGGGATTCTGTAGCCGATGACAGTGGACCTGTCGCTTTTTCTCAACCATCCTGAACACCTCCTCTGTCAGCCAGGGTCTCTGGGGAGGTCTGGACCGCGTACCCAAAGCAGCCATTGCAGCTGCATGAGTCACAGTCCTAAACCTTGCCCATTTACCCTCGACATCAGGAGGAGTCGGGGACGATGCCAATCCCAGCCGCAAGCGATGATGAAATTCTCGCTTGCAACTTTCATCAGATAACTGAGACCAGGCCACTTTAGGTTGGAATGGGTTCCTGGGTGTACACCCACCACCGGAGTGGAAGAATGGCAGGCGCATCTTACAACAGATGACTAGTCGATGGTCAGAGGGCAGATCAGCTCCACGGTAGGTCCTGGTGTCAAGGGCATGGGCTCGCATCCGCTGGTCCGTCACTATGTAGTCCAGCAGATGTTCTTGCTTGGACCCGGCATGCATCCATGATGTTGTGTGGATGCGCCGATGCCGGAACAGCGTGTTGGTAATTACAAGCCCATGGGCTGCACAAAAATCTAGCAGCCTCCTACCGTTGTTATTGAGCTGATCTGGCCCATGCCCTCCAATCACTCCAGACCAGGTGCCAGTATCATGACCAACTCGGGCATTGAAGTCACCCAACATGATGACTCTATCCCGAGGGGCCACATTAGCCAGCACCTGTGAAAGGAAGTCATAGAAGGCATCTGACTCATCGGCTTTGCCTGCATCCCTCCACGGATGTTCATCTTCGGTGGGGGCATAAGTAACCACGACCACCATTCCTCGCCTCCGGTTGATGGGAAGGCGAGCCCAAAGTAGCCTGGGGCTTACAGCTTCCCACACCTCACCGCCACGCTCCCACGCCTCCTTCATTCTTTTGTTTAAAAGAAGAGCCACATCCTGTTGTTTGGCAGTCTCCTGCCCCGAGTAGAGGACTGTCCACCCCTCATGGTGGCAGGAGCCAGAGCCGGATCACCGGATCTCCTGAATGCCACATAGATCCAGGCGGTACCGGTCCAGCTCCGGACAGAGGAGTGGCAGCCTCTCCTCCGCAGTGAGCGTTCGAACATTCCACGTGGCCACCCATAGTGGCTTTTCGTTGTTTCTGGAGGAGCCCCGAGGGTAGGTATTCAATCTCCTGGCTCTGCCAATTGGGGTTTGGCCAGGAGACGTCATAGACGCCTGGCCCCCCGGGGCCTCCGGCACAAGCTTATTAGTTACATATTTCAGTTTAACTCGTGGTTTCGTGGTAATTAATTGAGGGTGGAGGGGTTACCAGCCCCTAGCACCCGTCCAGAGACCCCGTTTAGCCCATGTGGTGGACACATATGCCATGAGGGGAGGAGCCAATCAAAATTGGACCTCCCCCCACAGCACTGTCCACGACAGAGTTGCCCGTCCGGCACCGCGAGGAGGTAGGGGGTTGTTTTGCCAGACACACACACACACGTGTACACACACACACACGTGTACACACACACACACACACGTGTACACACACACGTGTACACACACACGTGTACACACACACGTGTACACACACGTGTACACACACGTGTACACACACACACACACACGTGTACACACACAAACCAGCAGTGGATAGACCCTGGCTGGCCCTCACCAGCAGGAAGCAGGGACTCACGAACTTCCAGCAGATCCTCCAGTAGAGGCCCGGCCGGTATCCCAGCATGCACTGCATGTCGTCACAGAAGTGGTCTATACCTGGGGCACACGCAGTCACGTGGTGGTGATGGTGGTGGTGATGGTGGTGGTGATGGTGGTGGTGATGGTGGTGGTGGTGATGGTGGTGGTGATGATGGTGGTGGTGGTGATGGTGGTGGTGGTGATGGTGGTGGTGGTGATGGTGGTGGTGATGGTGGTGGTGGTGATGGTGGTGGTGATGGTGGTGATGGTGGTGATGGTGGTGGTGATGGTGGTGATGGTGGTGGTGATGTTGGTGGTGGTGGTGGTGATGGTGGTGGTGGTGGTGATGGTGGTGATGGTGGTGATGGTGGCGATGGTGGTGGTGACGGTGGTGGTGGTGATGGTGGTGGTGGTGATGGTGGTGGTGATGGTGGTGGTGGTGGTGATGGTGGTGGTGATGGTGGTGGTGATGGTAGTGATGGTGGTGGTAGTGATGGTGGTGATGGTGGTGATGGTGGTGGTGATGGTGGTGGTGATGGTGGTGATGGTGGTGATGATGGTGGTGGTGATGGTGGTGGTGGTGATGGTGGTGATGATGGTGGTGATGGTGGTGGTGGTGGTGGTGATGGTGGTGGTGGAAATAGTGGTGATGGTGGTGGTGATGGTGGTGGTGGTGATGGTGGTTATGGTGGTGGTGGTGATGGTGGTGGTGGTGATGGTGGTGATGATGGTGATGGTGGTGATGGTGGTGGTGATGGTGGTGATGGTGGTGGTGGTGATGATGGTGATGGTGGTGGTGATGGTGGTGATGGTGATGGCGGTGATGGTGGTGATGGTGATGATGGTGGTGGTGATGGTGGTGGTGATGGTGGTGATGGTGGTGATGGTGATGGTGGTGATGGTGATGATGGTGGTGATAGTGGTGATGGTGATGGTCGTGATGGTGGTGATGGTGGTGATGGTGGTGGTGGTGATGGTGGTGGTGATGGTGGTGGTGGTCATGGTGGTGGTGATGGTGGTGATGGTGGTGGTAGTGATGGTGGTGATGGTGGTGATGGTGGTGGTGATGGTGGTGGTGATGGTGGTGATGGTGGTGATGATGGTGGTGGTGGTGATGGTGGTGATGTTGATGGTGGTGATGGTGGTGGTGATGATGGTGGTGGTGATGGTGATGATGGTGGTGGTGATGGTGGTGATGGTGGTGGTGATGGTGGCGATGGTGATGGTGGTGATGGTGGTGATGATGATGGTGGTGGTGGTGATGATAGTGATGGTGGTGGTGATGATGATGATGGTGGTGATAGTGGTGATGGTGGTGATGATGGTGGTGATGGTGGTGATGGTGGTGGTGATTGTGATGTTGGTGGTGATGGTGGTGATGGTGGTGGTGGTGATGATGGTGGTGATGGTGGTGATGGTGGCGATGGTGATGGTGGTGATGGTGGTGATGGTGATGATGGTGGTGATGGTGATGGTGGTGATGGTGGTGATGTTTGTGGTGATGGTGATGATGATGGTGGTGATGATGGTGGTGGTGATGGTGATGGTGGTGATGGTAGTGGTGATGATGGTGATGATGGTGATGGTGGTGATGGTGATGGTGGTGATGGTGGTGATGGTGATGGTGGTGATGGTGATGATGGTGATGATGGTGGTGATGGTGATGGTGGTGATGGTGATGGTGGTGATGGTGGTGATGGTGGTGATGGTGGTGGTGATGGTGGTGATGGTGGTGATCGTGCTGGTGATGGGGGTGATGGTGATGATGGTGGTGATGGTGGTGATGGTGGTGGTGGTGATGGTGGTGATGATGGTGATGGTGGTGATGGTGATGTTGATGGTGATGATGGTGGTGATGGTGATGATGGTGGTGTTGATGGTAGTGATGGTGGTGATGTTGATGGTGATGGTGGTGATGGTGGTGATGTTGATGGTGGTGATGGTGGTGATGGTGATGTTGATGGTGGTGGTGATGGTGGTGATGGTGATGGTGGTGATGGTGATGATGATGATGATGGTGGTGGTGGTGATGGTGATGGTGGTGATGGTGATGGTGGTGATGGCGATGGTGGTGATGGTGGTGATGGTGGTGATGGTGATGTTGATGGTGATGGTGGTGATGGTGGTGATGGTGGTGGTGATGTTGATGGTGATGATGGTGATGATGGTGATGGTGGTGATCGTGCTGATGTTGAAGGTGATGTTGGTGGTGATGGTGATGTTGATGTTGATGGTGATGTTGATGGTGGTGATGATGATGGTGATGATGGTGATGTTGATGGTGTCGATGGTGTTGATGGTGATGGTGATGATGTTGATGTTGAAGGTGATGTTGATGGTGATGTTGAAGGTGATGATGATGTTGATGGTGATGATGTTGATGGTAATAGTGAAGGTGATGTTGATGATGTTGATGTTGATGATGATGGTGATGTTGATGATGTTGATGGTGATGATGGTGATGTTGATCTTGATGATGGTAATATTGATGATGTTGATGATGGTGGTGATGATGGTGTTGATGTTGATGAAGATGGTGTTGATGATGGTGTTGTTGATGGTGGTGAAGGTGAAGGTGATGTTGATGGTGAAGGTGATGTTGATGGTGATGTTGATGTTGATGTTGTTATTGTTGTTAATGTTGATGTTGTTGATGTTGTTGTTGTTACCATAGAACCAGGCCACACCCACCGCCTCCATCAACACCCCAAACAAGATGGCCGTGCCAGCAGCGTAGTGGTCAAGCAGCGTCACCACGTAGATGCCTCCCTGGGGTCACAGGGGGGTCACGGGGGGGTCACGGGGGTCACGGGGGGGCAGGTGAGGACGAGATAGAGGCGCAGGCCTTGCAAGTGCCTCCTGCCGAGGGTGGGGCAGTAGGTGAGTGGCTGAGCAGGTGAGTGGGTGGGTGGGTGAGTGGGTGAGTGAGTGGGTGGGTGAGTGGGTGATTGAGTGGGTGAGTGTGTGAGTGTGTGAGTGAGTGGGTGAGTGTGTGAGTGAGTGCGTGAGTGGGTGGGTGAGTGGGTGAGTGAGTAGGTGAGTGAGTAGGTGAGTGAGTGGCTGAGTGGGTGAGTGGGTGAGTGAGTGGGTGAGTGTGTGAGTGGGTGGGTGAGTGGGTGGGTGAGTGAGCGAATGAGTGAGTGGGTGAGTGAGTGAGTGAATGAGTGAGTGGGTGAGTGAATGAGTGAGTGGGTGAGTGAGTGAGTGAATGAGTGAGTGGGTGAGTGAGTGAATGAGTGAGTGAATGAGTGAGTGAGTGAATGAATGGGTGAGTGAATGAGTGAATGAATTAGTGAACGAGTGAACGAGTGAATGAGTGAGTGAATGAATGAGTGAGTGAGTGAATGAGTGAATGAGTGAGTAAATGAGTGAATGAGTGAATGAGTGAGTGAATGAATGAATGAGTGAGTGAGTAAATGAGTGAATGAGTGAGTGAGTGAGTGAATGAGTGAATGAATGAGTGAATGAGTGAGTGAATTAGTGAATGAGTGAGTGAATGAGTGAATGAGCGAGTGAATGAGTGAGTGAATGAATGAGTGAGAGAGTGAATGAGTGAGTGAATGAGTGGTGAGTGAGTGAATGAATGAGTGAATGAATGAGTGAGTGAATGAGTGAATGAATGAGCGAATGAGTGAATGAATGAGTTACTGAGTGAGTGAATGAGTGAGTGAATGAGTGAGTGAAGCGTGAGCGAATGAGTGAGTTAATGAATGAGTGAATGAATGAGTGAATGAATGGATGAGTGAATGAAGGAGTGAATGAGTGAGTGAACGAGTGAGTGAACGAGTGAGTGAATGAGTGAATGAATGAGTGAGTGAATGAATGAGTGAGTGAATGAGTGAATGAGTGAGTGAATTAGTGAATAAATGAGTGAATGAATGAGTGAGTGAATGAGTGAGTGAGTGAATGAATGAGTGAAGAGTGAGTGACGAGTGAATGAGTGAGTGAATGAGTTAGTGAGTGAAGAGTGAGTGAGTGAGTGAATGAGTGAATGAATGAGTGCGTGAATGAATGAGTGAATGAATGAGTGAGCGAAGCGTGAGTGAATGAATGAGTGAGTGAATGAGTGAGTGAATGAATGAGTGAGTGAATGAGTGAGTGAATGAGTGAGTGAATGAGTGAGTGAATGAGTGAATGAATGAGTGCGTGAATGAGTGCGTGAATGAGCGAGTGAATGAATGAGTGAAGCGTGAGTGAATGAGTGAGTGAATGAATGAGTGAATGAATGAGTGAATAAATGAATGAATGAGTGAATGAATGGTTGAGTGAATGAATGAGTGAATGAATGGTTTAGTGAATGAATGAGTGAGTGAATGAGTGAATGAGTGAGTGAATGAGTGAGTGAATGAATGAGTGAATGAATGAGTGAGTGAATGAATGAGTGAATGAGTGAGTGAATGAATGAGTGAATGGGTGAATGAATGAGTGAGTGAATGAGTGAGTGAATTAGTGAATGAGTGAGTGAATGAGTGAGTGAGTGAATGAGTGAGTGAATGAGTGAATGAATGAGTGAGTGAATGAGTGAGTGAGTGAGTGCGTGAATGAATGAGTGAATGAATGAGTGAGTGAAGCGTGAGTGAATGAATGAATGAGTGAGCGAATGAGTGAGTGAATGAATGAGTGAATGAATGAGTGAGTAATTGAATGAGTGAATGAATGAGTGAATGAATGAGTGAGTGAATGAGTGAATGAGTGAGTGAATGAATGAGTGCGTGAATGAGCGAGTGAATGAGTGAGTGAAGCGTGAGTGAATGAGTGAATGAATGAGTGAATGAATGAGTGAATAAATGAGTGAATGAATGAGTGAATTAATGGATGAGCGAATGAGTGAATGAATGAGTGAATGAATGAGTGGGTGAATGAGTGAGTGAATGAATGAGTGAATGAGTGAATGAATGAGTGAATGAATGAGTGAGTGAATGAGTGAATGAATGAGTAAGTGAAGAATGAGTGAATGAGTGAGTGAATGAATGAGTGAATGAATGAGTGATTGAATGAGTGAATGAGTGAGTGAATGAGTGAATGAGTGAGTGAATTAGTGAATGAGTGAGTGAATGAGTGAATGAGTGAGTGAATGAGTGAGTTAATGAGTGAGTGAATGAGTGAGAGAATGAATGAGTGAATGAGTGAGTGAATGAATGAGTGATGAAGTGAATGAATGAGGGAATGAGTGAATGAGTGAGTGAGTGAATGAGTGAAGAGTGAGTGACGAGTGAATGAGTGAGTGACGAGTGAATGAGTGAGTGAATGAGTGAATGAATGAGTTAGTGAAGAGTGAGTGAATGAGTGAGTGAATGAGTGAGTGAGTGAATGAGTGAGTGATGAAGTGAATGAATGAGGGAATGAGTGAATGAATGAATGAATGAGTGAATGAGTGAAGAGTGAGTGACGAGTGAATGAATGAGTGAGTGAATGAGTGAGTGAATGAATGATTGAGTGAATGAGTGAGTGAATGAGTGAATGAGTGAGTGAGTGAATGAGTGAAGAGCGAGTGACGAGTGAATGAGTGAATGAATGAGTTAGTGAGTGAATGAGTGAATGAATGAGTGAGAGAATGAATGAGTGAATGAGTGAGTGAATGAATGAGTGATGAAGTGAATGAATGAGGGAATGAGTGAATGAGTGAGTGAGTGAATGAGTGAAGAGTGAGTGACGAGTGAATGAGTGAGTGACGAGTGAATGAGTGAGTGAATGAGTGAATGAATGAGTTAGTGAAGAGTGAGTGAATGAGTGAGTGAATGAGTGAGTGAATGAATGACTGAGTGAATGAGTGAGTGAGTGAGTGAATGAGTGAGTGATGAAGTGAATGAATGAGGGAATGAGTGAATGAATGAATGAGTGAAGAGTGAGTGACGAGTGAATGAATGAGTGAATGAGTGAGTGAATGAATGATTGAGTGAATGAGTGAGTGAGTGAGTGAATGAGTGAAGAGTGAGTGACGAGTGAATGAGTGAATGAGTGAATGAATGAGTTAGTGAGTGAATGAATGAATGAGTGAGTGAATGAATGAGTGAATGAGTGAGTGAATGAGTGAGTTAATGAATGATTGAGTGAATGAATGAGTGAGTGAATGAGTGAGTGAATGAAAGAGTGAATGAGTCAATGAATGAGTCAATGAATGAGTCAATGAATGAGTGAATGAATGAGTGAATGAGTGAGTGAATGAGTGAATGAATGAGTGAGTGAATGAGTGCGTGAACGAATGAGTGAAGCGTGAGTGAATGAGTGAATGAGTGAGTGAATGAATGAGTTAGTAAATGAATGAATGAGTGAGCGAATGAGTGAGTGAATGAATGAGTGAATGAATGAGTGAGTGAATGAGTGAATTAATGAGTGAGTGAATGAGTGAGTGAATGAGCGAGGGAATGAATGAGTGAATGAATGAGTGCATGAATGAGTGAATGAATGAGTGAGTGAAGAGTGAGTGAGTGAACGAATGAGTGAACGAATGACTGAATAAATGAGTGAATGAATGAGTGAATGAATGAGTGAGTGAATGAGTGAGTGAATGAGTGAATGAATGAGTGAATTAGTCGAGTGAATGAGTGAGTGAATGAATGAGTGAATGAATGAGTGAGTGGATGAATGAATGAGTGAACGAGTGAGTGAATGAGTGAATGAGTGATGAAGTGAATGAGTGAATGAGTGAGTGAATGAATGCGTGAATGAGTGAAGAGTGAGTGACGAGTGAGTGAATGAGTGAATGAATGAGTTAGTGAGTGAAGAGTGAGTGAGTAAATGAATGAGTGAGTGAATGAATGAGTGAGTGAATGAGTGAGTGAATGAGTGAATGAGTGAGTGAATGAGTGAGTGAACGAATGAGTGAATGAGTGAATGAATGAGTGAATGAATGAGTGAACGAGTGAATGAGTGAGTGAATGAACGAGTGAATGAATGAGTGAATGAGTGAATGAATGAGTGAATGAATGAGTGAACGAATGAGTGAATGAGTGAGTGAATGAGTGAGTGAATGAGTGAACGAATGAGTGAATGCATAAGTGAATGAGTGAGTGAATGAATGAGTGAGTGATTGAGTGAATGAACAAGTGAATGAACGAGCGAATGAATGAGTGAATGAGTGAGTAAGTGAATGAGTGAGTGAATGAATGAGTGAATGAGTGAGTGAATGAATGAGTGAATGAATGAAGGAGTGAATGAGTGCGTGAAGGAGTGAGTGAATGAATGAGTGAATGAATGAGTGAGTAAGTGAATGAATGAGTGAATGAACGAGTGAGTGAATGAATAACCTTGGTAATGGAGAAGAGGGCGACACTGAAGTCGATCGTCACCAGGAGGAGAGTGAATGAATGAGTGAGTGAATGAATGAGTGAATGAATGAGTGAATGAGTGATGAAGTGAATGAGTGAGTGAGTGAATGAATGAATAACCTTGGTAATGGAGAAGAGGGCGACACTGAAGTCGATCGTCAACAGGAGGAGAGTGAATGAATGAGTGAGTGAATGAATGAATGAGTGAGTGGATGAATGAGTGAATTAATGAATAACCTTGGTAATGGAGAAGAGGGCGACACTGAAGTCGATCGTCACCAGGAGGAGAGTGAATGAGTGAGTGAGTGAATGAATGAGTGAGTGGATGAGTGAGTGAGTGAATGAATGAATAACCTTGGTGATGGAGAAGAGGGCGACACTGAAGTCGATCGTCACCAGGAGGAGAGTGAAAAGTTTCCGGCGTCGACGCAGCACCGGGAACTCATCAGAGAGGCCGGTGAGCACCGCCTCCAACCCTCCCATCTGGGGGGGTGAGGAGTAGGTGGTGAGTAGTAGGTGGTGAGTAGGTGGTGAGTAGTAGGTGGTGAGTAGTAGGTGAGTAGGTGGTGAGTAGGTGGTGAGTAGGTGGTGAGTAGTAGGTGGTGAGCACCGCCTCCAACCCTCCCATCTGGGGGGGTGAGGAGTAGGTGGTGAGTAGTAGGTGGTGAGTAGTAGGTGGTGAGTAGGTGGTGAGTAGTAGGTGGTGAGTAGTAGGTGGTGAGCACCGCCTCCAACCCTCCCATCTGGGGGGGTGAGGAGTAGGTGGTGAGTAGTAGGTGGTGAGTAGTAGGTGGTGAGTAGTAGGTGGTGAGTAGTAGGTGGTGAGCACCGCCTCCAACCCTCCCATCTGGGGGGGTGAGGAGTAGGTGGTGAGTAGTAGGTGGTGAGTAGTAGGTGAGTAGGTGGTGAGTAGGTGGTGAGTAGTAGGTGGTGAGTAGTAGGTGGTGAGCACCGCCTCCAACCCTCCCATCTGGGGGGGTGAGGAGTAGGTGGTGAGTAGTAGGTGAGTAGGTGGTGAGTAGTAGGTGGTGAGTAGTAGGTGGTGAGTAGTAGGTGGTGAGTAGTAGGTGGTGAGCACCGCCTCCAACCCTCCCATCTGGGGGGGTGAGGAGTAGGTGGTGAGTAGTAGGTGGTGAGTAGTAGGTGGTGAGTAGTAGGTGGTGAGTAGGTGGTGAGTAGTAGGTGGTGAGTAGTAGGTGGTGAGTAGTAGGTGGTGAGTAGGTGGTGAGTAGTAGGTGGTGAGTAGTAGGTGGTGAGTAGTAGGTGGTGAGTAGTAGGTGGTGAGTAGTAGGTGGTGAGTAGTAGGTGGTGAGCACCGCCTCCAACCCTCCCATCTGGGGGGGTGGTGAGTAGTAGGTGGTGAGTAGGTGGTGGTGAGTAGTAGGTGGTGAGTAGTAGGTGGTGAGTAGTAGGTGGTGAGTAGTAGGTGGTGAGCACCGCCTCCAACCCTCCCATCTGGGGGGGTGGTGAGGAGGAGTAGGTGGTGAGTAGTAGGTGGTGAGTAGTAGGTGGTGAGTAGTAGGTGGTGAGCAGTAGGTGGTGAGTAGTAGGTGGTGAGTAGTAGGTGGTGAGCACCGCCTCCAACCCTCCCATCTGGGGGGGGTGAGGAGTAGGTGGTGAGTAGGTGGTGAGTAGTAGGTGGTGAGTAGTAGGTGGTGAGTAGTAGGTGGTGAGTAGTAGGTGGTGAGTAGTAGGTGGTGAGTAGGTGGTGAGTAGTAGGTGGTGAGCACCGCCTCCAACCCTCCCATCTGGGGGGGTGAGGAGTAGGTGGTGAGTAGTAGGTGGTGAGTAGTAGGTGGTGAGTAGTAGGTGGTGAGTAGTAGGTGGTGAGCACCGCCTCCAACCCTCCCATCTGGGGGGGTGAGGAGTAGGTGGTGAGTAGGTGGTGAGTAGTAGGTGGTGAGTAGTAGGTGGTGAGTAGTAGGTGGTGAGCACCGCCTCCAACCCTCCCATCTGGGGGGGATGGTGAGGAGGAGTAGGTGGTGAGTAGTAGGTGGTGAGTAGTAGGTGGTGAGTAGGTGGTGAGTAGTAGGTGGTGAGCACCGCCTCCAACCCTCCCATCTGGGGGGGTGAGGAGTAGGTGGTGAGTAGTAGGTGGTGAGTAGTAGGTGGTGAGTAGTAGGTGGTGAGCACCGCCTCCAACCCTCCCATCTGGGGGGGGTGAGGAGTAGGTGGTGAGTAGGTGGTGAGTAGTAGGTGGTGAGTAGGTGGTGAGTAGGTGGTGAGTAGTAGGTGGTGAGCACCGCCTCCAACCCTCCCATCTGGGGGGGTGAGTAGTAGGTGGTGAGTAGTAGGTGGTGAGTAGTAGGTGGTGAGTAGTAGGTGGTGAGCAGTAGGTGGTGAGTAGTAGGTGGTGAGTAGTAGGTGGTGAGTAGTAGTAGTAGGTGGTGAGTAGGTGGCGAGGAGTAGGTGGTGAGTAGTAGTAGTAGGTGGTGAGTAGTAGTAGGTAAGTAGTAGGTGGTGAGTAGTAGGTGGTGAGTAGTTGGTGAGTAGTAGGTGGTGAGTAGTAGTTGGTGAGTAGTAGTTGGTGAGTAGTAAGTGGTGAGTGTAATTGGTGAGTAGTAAGTGGTGAGTAGTAATTGGTGAGTAGAAGTAATTGGTGAGTAGTAATTGGTGAGTAATTGGTGAGTAGGTGGTGAGTAGTAGGTGGTGAGTAGTAGGTGGTGAGTAGTAGGTGGTGAGTAGGTGGTGAGTAGTAGGTGGTGAGTAGTAGGTGGTTAGTAGTAGGTGGTGAGTAGTAGGTGGTGAGTAGGTGGTGAGTAGTAGGTGGTGAGTAGTAGGTGGTGAGTAGTAGGTGGTGAGTAGTAGTAGTAGGTGGTGAGTAGGTGGCGAGGAGTAGGTGGTGAGTAGTAGGTGGTGAGTAGTAGGTGGTGAGTAGTAGTAGGTAAGTAGTAGGTGGTGAGTGGTAGGTGGTGAGCAGTAGGTGGTGAGTAGTAGGTGGTGAGTAGTTGGTGAGTAGGTGGTGAGTAGTAGGTGGTGAGCACCGCCTCTAACCCTCCCATCTGGGGGGGTGAGGAGTAGGTGGTGAGTAGTAGGTGGTGAGTAGTAGGTGGTGAGTAGGTGGTGAGTAGGTGGCGAGGAGTAGGTGGTGAGTAGTAGGTGGTGAGCAGTAGGTGGTGAGTAGTAGGTGGTGAGTAGTAGGTGGTGAGTAGGTGGTGAGTAGTAGATGGTGAGTAGTAGGTGGTGAGTAGTAGGTGGTGAGTAGTAGTAGTAGGTGGTGAGTAGTAGGTGGTGAGCACCGCCTCCAACCCTCCAATCTGGGGGGGGTGAGGAGTAGGTGGTGAGTAGTAGGTGGTGAGTAGTAGGTGGTGAGTAGGTGGTGAGTAGTAGGTGGTGAGTAGTAGGTGGTGAGTAGGTGGTGAGTAGTACGTGGTGAGTAGTAGGTGGTGAGTAGTAGGTGGTGAGTAGTAGGTGGTGAGTAGGTGGTGAGTAGTAGGTGGTGAGTAGTAGGTGGTGAGTAGGTGGTGAGTAATAGGGGGTGAGGAGTAGGTGGTGAGTAGTAGGTGGTGAGCAGTAGGTGGTGAGTAGTAGGTGGTGAGTAGTAGGTGGTTAGTAGTAGTAGTAGGTGGTGAGTAGGTGGCGAGGAGTAGGTGGTGAGTAGTAGGTGGTGAGTAGTAGTAGGTAAGTAGTAGGTGGTGAGTAGTAGATGGTGAGCAGTAGGTGGTGAGTAGTAGGTGGTGAGTAGTTGGTGAGTAGGTGGTGAGTAGTAGGTGGTGAGCATCGCCTCCAACCCTCCCATCTGGGGGGGTGAGGAGTAGGTGGTGAGTAGTAGGTGGTGAGTAGTAGGTGGTGAGTAGGTGGTGAGTAGGTGGCGAGGAGTAGGTGGTGAGTAGTAGGTGGTGAGCAGTAGGTGGTGAGTAGTAGGTGGTGAGTAGTAGGTGGTGAGTAGGTGGTGAGTAGTTGGTGAGTAGTAGGTGGTGAGTAGTAGGTGGTGAGTAGTAGTAGTAGGTGGTGAGTAGGTGGTGAGTAGTAGGTGGTGAGTAGTAGGTGGTGAGTAGTAGGTGGTGAGTAGTAAGTGGTGAGTGTAATTGGTGAGTAGTAAGTGGTGAGTAGTAATTGGTGAGTAATTGGTGAGTAGAAGTAATTGGTGAGTAGTAATTGGTGAGTAATTGGTGAGTAGGTGGTGAGTAGTAAGTGGTGAGTAGTAATTGGTGAGTAGTAATTGGTGAGTAGTAATTGGTGAGTAATTGGTGAGTAGCAATTGGTGAGTAGTAATTGGTGAGTAATTGGTGAGTAGCAATTGGTGAGTAATTGTTCTCATTGCGCTATCTAATCCCAAGACGAGGAGCATGATGAAGAAGAGGAATGGTGAGTAGTAGGTGGTGAGTAGTTGGTGGTGAGTAGTTGGTGAGTAGTTGGTGAGTAAGTGGTGAGTAGTTGGTGAGTAGTTGGTGAGTAATTGGTGAGTAATTGGTGAGTAGTTGTTCTCACTGCGCTGTCTAATCCCAGGGCGAGGAGCATGATGAAGAAGAGGAGTGGTGAGTAGTAGGTGGTGAGTAGTAGGTGGTGAGTAGTTGGTGAGTAGTAGTAGTAAGTGGTGAGTAGGAAGTGGTGAGTAGTAAGTGGTGAGTAGTAAGTGGTGAGTAATTGGTGAGTAGTAAGTGGTGAGTAGTAATTGGTGAGTAATTGGTGAGTAGTAATTGGTGAGTAGTAGTTCTCACCGCGCTGTCTAATCCCAGGGCGAGTAGCATGATGAAGAAGAGTGGTGAGTAGTAGTTGGTGAGTAGTAGGTGGTGAGTAGTAAGAGGTGAGTAATTGGTGAGTAGTAATTGGTGAGTAATTGGTGAGTAGTAATTGGTGAGTAGTTGTTCTCACCGCGCTGTCTAATCCCAGGGCGAGGAGCATGATGAAGAAGAGGAGTGGTGAGTAGTAGGTGGTGAGTAGTTGGTGGTGAGTAGTTGGTGAGTAGTTGGTGAGTAAGTGGTGAGTAGTAATTGGTGAGTAGTTGGTGAGTAGTTGGTGAGTAAGTGGTGAGTAGTTGGTGAGTAGTTGGTGAGTAGTTGGTGAGTAGTTGGTGAGTAATTGGTGAGTAATTGGTGAGTAATTGGTGAGTAATTGTTCTCACCGCGCTGTCTAATCCCAGGGCGAGGAGCATGATGAAGAAGAGGAGTGGTGAGTAGTAGGTGGTGAGTAGTAATTGGTGAGTAGTAGGTGGTGAGTAGTAGTAGTTCTCACCGCGCTGTCTAATCCCAGGGCGAGGAGCATGATGAAGAAGAGGAGTGGTGAGTAGTAGGTGGTGAGTAAGTGGTGAGTAAGTGGTGAGTAGTAATTCTCACCGCGCTGTCTAATCCCAGGGCGAGGAGCATGATGAAGAAGAGGAGTGGTGAGTAGTAGGTGGTGAGTAGTAGGTGGTGAGTAGTAGGTGGTGAGTAGTAGTAATTCTCACCGCACTGTCTAATCCCAGGGCGAGGAGCATGATGAAGAAGAGGAGTGGTGAGTAGTAGGTGGTGAGTAGTAGGTGGTGAGTAGTAGGTGATGAGTAG